AACACAGCTACTAAGCCCATGCAAGGCCTATACAATTCATTTTGTTTTTGACAGAAACCGACAAAACAGAAATTTTCATGAAAATTTAATCAAAAAGCCACATTTTATAAAAAAAAACGCCATGTTTCAGTGGAAATTTTTAAATCAGCTCTACTTAATCCCTATGATGAAATAAATGGTATGCAAATGTCCTATAGTCCTAGTTCCAGACCTCTGTGTAGGGTGGAATTTCACCTTCTCTGACCACCAACGTGCCAAGAAACTTGATTCTAGGAACAAAGAGACTTTGGAATGAATAAGGCCTACCTCTAATAGTATCCACTTCATGGGGAAATGATTACTAAGAGCCAACATCAGCCTTGCTGTAAGCTGGTGTAACACCGTTATCTTTCAATGGATTTGCACACACTTATACTAGGCCTTCATTTAGCCGTAAGATTTTTTTAATATATACTGTCAACATGAGCCAGTGGCTTAATATTCAAAAATACTGAACATCAACAGTATTGGAGGGAGGGTGCACTGCATCTCTGAAACTCAGATAAAACATCTTCACAATAAAACCGGCCAAGTTTTTCAGCCCTCACTCAGTCAAAACTTTAATTGTCTTTAGTGGGAAATTTTGCCAAAATGGAGGACAATATGATATGCCCATATGTAACCAATGTGGACTTCTCCAAATCTCACACATGAGTGAGCTGCATGGGACTGTATTCTACATATTGAATTAAAACCTAAGTTACAGTAACATGAAGTGTGTGAAGCACTGACAAAATCCACAAAGCCGTCTAACAATAATTTCCATTTGTAAATCAAGGCTGTCTTTAGCATGCCTTCCTATTATGCCCAGCTACCACAAAGCATATGGAGAGTGACCATGGGGAAATGCTAACCACTTGTATAATAGTTTCGGTGGGGAAAACGGGTTCAGTTTGCAGTCTGATTATGATCCCGATACCCAACCTTGCTAAAGTGAAATGAATTCACCTGAAATTTCACAGCTGTGATAAAGGGCAGATAAAGGGTAGATTTTTTCCTGGAAAGGTTGCTGCAAATTGGACAAGGTGTTTGGGAGATTATTTAAGAAATAAAATAAAAACAGGATGATCTAATTTCTTCAGTGCCTGCAGTGTGGTACCTTGGCCCCACACTAAATCTATTTAGAAAAATCTAAATAAATTCTCTCTCTCTCTCTCTTTCTTTCTCTAAGAGGTTGTCAGCGTTCCAACAGAAAATGCTGATTCTATGGACGCTACATGTAGATTGCTTCAACACTTTAGATGGAAACCAGGCAGGCCAACCTACTGGCCACCCTGCCTGCCTGCTTTCCTGCTAGCTCCCCCTCCTGCCCACCTCTCTGCTCCCATGCTTCTTGTCAGTCTCAGTGGTGGAACTGGGGTTGTCCCGAGCTTTCAGGCTCCTTGTTCCTCAGCAGCCAGGCTCCTTGGCAGCCCATCTGCTGAGCAGTTGCAGAGCTGGGCTTCCAGGCTCACCAGTTTCCTAACTACCAGCAGTGGCGGATTAGCCACAGGGCTAATGGGGCCCATGTCCAGGGGCCCCGGCTAATTGGAGGCCCTTGGAAAAATGGGTCCCCCAACCTGCTCTGCCTGCTCGGTGTCCCTGCTGGGGAGTGGGATGCGGGTGCGGGGGCTTGCTCCATCCCGGCAGGAGCACCGGGTGGGCAGACCAGGCTGGGGTACCAGTGAAGGAGTGCCAGGCAGGGTGGGGCAAGCCCCCATGCCCCAACCCCATTTCCCCAGCAGGACTGCTGGGAGGGGAGTGGGAGGTCTGCAGATGGAAGAGATGGGGAGGGGATCCCACTTGCTGTGGCCCAGGGCCCACAAAACCATAATTGCCTCTGGCCAGGAGTCTGGGTGGCTGGCTTCCAGGGATGCCTGCTTCATGAATAGACTGGTGGGCTCCTAGGTTCCCTGAACAGCTGACTCCCTAGCTCCCTGAGTCACTGGGCTCCTTGGCTGCCTGCCAGATAGGTGATCTGCTGGATATCCCAGAAATCATATTTCATTTTGGAAACACCGCAACCTTTCCACAATAGGAACATTTCAGCATGTCCGAAACAAAATATTGCAGAAGTTCAATTTTTGGCCTTTCATCCTCATTTTTGATTAAAAGTCCTGCAAATTCAATTTTTTTGGTGGGATGGAAATTCTGTTTCCTGGTTAGTTCTGAGGGGCTGAATTATTTTATTATCTTATTTTATTCTCCTAGTTTTCCTCTTATTATTTTTAGGTCCACTACTGTCAAATCCCCTTAGAACAGCACTTTCTGCTCACTATTGTATCTGTCAAAATGCACCGTCACTTGGTGTGTGAAGAGTACAGAATTCCTTATTCAGGCATGTCCTTATTTGCACATTTCTTAGCAATGCCTTTTGCTTCAGCACACCTGAAGTGTATGAATACTAACAGGTATAAATTTTCTGGACTCAATTATGTGCTCAAAAGCTCTAGATATTATTCTTACTCATTTGTATGCACAGCCACATATAAAAAGTATAGAGCCCACTCTTCATTTAGACAAAGTATCCTACTTCCATGAGTAAGGAGTTCAGGGCAAGGCCCGCTGTACAGAACCTGCCTGGAAGTTACACCTCTTAGA